GATTTTTTAATTTTAATAAATTATTTTTAAAAATTATTATTATTATTATTATTTAAAAAAAAATATTAACTATTTTGGTTGATAAATATTTTGGAAATTCATCGTAGGATCCAATCATCTCTTTAATATAGTCAGAATTTAAGTTTTTGCATGATAGTTAATTAAAGCTTAAGAAGGCAATTGGCATAAATTAAAATTTTAGGCAAAATTGGCCACTAAATTAAAAGGATTAGTGGTGTTTGTTACCCTATTTCTTGTATCTTTCAATCCATCCGTGAATGATCACTCTACTCCCACCAACTCCATCTTCTTTCTTATGAGAAAAGGTTGGTGATGCTAATGTACAAACACAAAAATGCAAGAACAAAATGAACACTTGATGCTTCAAACAAAGATGTCAAACATGAAATAATTAAAGATGTCATTTATCATGTTATGCGAATCGAATGAGGCCAGACACCATCAAACAACAGAAGCAAGTTTTGTCTTGTTCAGTGCATCATCACTTTAATTTCCTACCTCTTCTCTCTCTCTCTCTCTCTCTCGTGTTCTTATCCCCAATCCACACCTTATTACATTTTTTATTGTTACATAGCTAGAAGTAATAAATAACATGGAAAGTAAAATGGTGATGAGAAATATTAGGAGAACGTAATGCTCTTCCCAAATTACACCCGCAATCGGTATCTTCCACTCTTCCCGTTATACCCCTGTGATACGCTTCCGATAATGCCCCCGAAAGTTTTAACTCTTCTTCCCGTCTTCTCCCCCTTCGTAGTACGCCTTCTTCCTCCTCTCCGCGCGCGCGCACGTGCAAATCACGAGGAAGCACGCGGCGTAGACGCCGTGCACGCGCCAGTTGGCCCGCGGTGCCTCGCCGCTCACCGCCCGGTGGAACACGGCCGCGTAGTAGTGCACCCCCACCGCCAGGCCGATCACCATCTGCGCCAGGGCGAGCGCCCGCGCCGACGCACCGCCACCGCCGGCGTTCTTGCCGCCGGAGAACACCGCGACCAGGTCGGCCAGCTGCAGTATCAGGTACATTAGGTAGCCGGTCGTCTGCGCCGCCTGCGTCCAGGTGTAGGAGCCCGGCGAGGTGGCGTAGAAGAACCGCAGGGGCTCCAGCCCCGTCGCCAGGGCGGTCAGCGCGAGGGTGGCGAAGTAGATGGCGAGATAGGCCTGGATGAAGAGGAGCAGACGGTGGAGGGAGAGGTAGGTACGGAGGCGGCGGAAGAGGAGGGTGAAGAGGAGCAGGGGGAGCGCGAGGAAGAGGGAGGAGAGCACGGGGGCAACCTTGGGGGCGAAGCTCTTGCCCACGTAAGGCTTGACGCCTTCGGCGATGCCGCGGTTGGCCGCGGAGATGTAGGCCTTGGAGGTGGTGGAGAGGCGCTCGAGGTCGGGGAGCAGGCGGGAGGGGAGCTCCCGAAAGTCGGAGATGAGATCCGTGTGGTCCATGTCGTCCATTGTCTCCATCCAGGCCGTCGATTCCTCCGGCTTCGCCTTGGGCATGGACGGCTTCGTCGCCACGGGAGGCTTGCTGGGTTGCTGCGGTTTGGGAGCTTTGGGGGCGGATGTGGTCTTGATCTTGGCAATGGGCGGATCAAAAACCGATTTTTTGGAAGATTTGGTGGAATTGGAGGTGGAATTGAGAGATTTGAGCTGGTCTTTGGAGGATTTTGTCAGATTGGACTTGATAAGCTTGATGGTTTTGAGAAGCTTGGTGGAATTTGAGGTTTTCAAGGTGGCGTCAAGGATTTTACCGAGCTTATTCTTGGTGGTTTTGTTGGATTTGGAATCCATGGCGATGGCGGCGGCTGCGGCAGCTGTGGCAGTGGAGTTGGTCTTTTTGGGCTTTAAGAGTTTGGTCTGGTTTTTAGTCCCCAAGAATGGTTTCTTCTTGACGAGTGTGGGATTCTGAATCTTTTCACCTTCCTCTCCTGCTTCAATCATGGATCTTTTGCTTGAAAGTTGTGGCTTTTGTGACTTCGAAGCAGGGGAAGTGGTGGTGGTGGTGGAAGAGGAGGAGGAAATGGTGAGGCTAACATGGAGGAAGAGAAGCAGCAGAAGAACAATAATGGTTGAAGAGGAGAGGGAGGCCATTTGAAGGCCTGATAGATCTAGAGTTTGGAATTTGGGAAGGAAGAGGGTGAGGAGAAGAGATCAGGGGATGCAGTGAGACTCGTCTAATATATATGGAACGCCAGAGGGAGGAAGGGGAGGAAGAACAGGTGGGAAGGTGTGGGGATTTCAAGTGGGAGCCGAACCACCGCATCTTCTTGACATGGCAGGAAGGGAAGAATGGCCACAAGGTCACATGGTGGCCGTGTGTGGCGACAAAGTGGGGGAGTGAGAGAGGCAATGGAGTCAGCTGGTCTAGTGATTAGAATAGAGTGGCAGAGACCACTGTAGGGGAATGGAAAGTACAAGAAATATCATCCTGGTTGTTAGGGTATATGTAAATCAATTCCTCCCTCCCCAGTAGATGCAGCCTTCCTGTGGCTCTTCTGTCATCCACAGTGCCCACAGGAGTGAGATCTTCGGATCATCCTCGATAACTTCTGGTTATGGGATTCACCTAAAGAGTTCTCCTGGAACTTGTCTTGGCTAAAGTCAATGTTTATATGATGTTTAGGAGGACCGGATTCAGAAGTGAGATTTATTATCGTTTCTTGCAAAAGTCAGAGTAGGCGCAAATTCTCCCAGTTTGTGACCTACCATAAGATCTATTATATTGATTGGTAAATGTTCCAATCTATTATAGATAGCAATTGTATGACCAATCATTGTGGTAAAGAAAAAAGTTTGTGGTGTTCATCAAAGTCAGCATCATTGATCTTGTTAGGGGCATAGTCAATTTGCGTCTGGGGCTGTGTTCTATATGTCATACCGAACTCAGGTGATCTCTATCTTTTCTCTTCCTTTTATGCTTGTCTAAGCTTTTGATACACCATACTCTAGCATCCAAGGAACACCATGATTTATCAGTTTAATTATGTTTGCAGAAACAAAATATTTGTTTATTTGCTTTATACTGCATTTATGTTTGATACTTGACATGTAAATTAGTTAAGCTGGCAATGCAAGCAGCTATTTAGCTGAATTTTTAGCATAAACACCAGCATGATTAGGGACACTTTGCTTATAATATCAAAGTGAGAATGACTTTAAAGTCTTCAACAACTTGTGCTGCAAATTAGGTCTTCTGATGATTACTTGATTGATTAATTCTGATACATGGCCAATTTATTTATACACATACAATGAAGCTAAGAATGTACTATTTGTAGTACCTCAAACCTCTTCAAGATCAGGTGGGGAACCAACAATCTAGCAAGGACTGGTTGATCAGACATTATATGGACAACTGTAATGGCTTTACAGAAAAAAATTGAGGAGAGTGTGGTGGAATGGTAAGACAGCTGACAAGTAGACCACACTCCCCAAAGAAAAATGGACCATCACAAAAGTAAATTTTATCCCACAGAAGCAGACTATCTCTTCTAGTAGTTTGGGTCTTCTTTCTTTTTGGTTGATGGTTGTTGTATGATTTCTTTGTTTCTATGAAGTATCTTCCAACAGGGAAAAAGGTGAAAACATTGAGTTATAAATCCCATAGGATCACCTTAAGAACAAAATTGTAAAAGCTCAAACACTGCATGTTGTAGAATTGATGTTGTCTCCCTGATTTCTGTGTAAACAGTATGGCAAGCAGAGATTAAAGTATCAGCTGGGACTTGGAAGACACCACTCATGTGTTTGGATCCAAAAGGGTACGATGAAGTGTTTGCCATGTATTACCCTTGACATATTTAGGAATTCGGATGCTATAGGACATGATAGGCTGTTCTTTTGGTGCTCATCAAGAGATGCAAGGAAACTGCTCTAGAAAGTTGAAACAGGCTTGTTGAATAAAAACCTTTCTGGTTTTCGATCATGAAAAACTAAAACCTCATTTATATGATGCCAAGCATTAAATTAAAATACACCTAATAATTTAAGTTTCCTTTCTTGATAAGGTCTGGATTATAATATCCGACAAACTGATCCTGGATGTAATAAGTATCAATCAGCATGTCTTAATATTTCATTTCACTAATGTTCAACAAACAGAGAGAATTTTTTGAGGGGCTTCATTGTAAAAATTTTAAAAAAGGTTGGTTGGATTGTGCCTAATAAGTCCATAATTCAATCTCAAACAGTCCATTTGAGACAATTAGGACCATTACAAGTTCCTGTGATCTGTGGCTACCACTGTGCTTCATTTTGCCAACATTTTTCTTCTATGCTCCTTCTGTAGTTAACCCCTAAAACATGCATGACATTTCTTGCTTCTTTTACAATTCTCAAATCCACTCTCGAGTGTGATTTGCATCAAAGCTCCATCCTAAAGTTTCTTGGTGCAATCATATTAGCAAAATCTACATTTTGTTTCAAAGAGTGATAGTTAAGATGTAAAATTCATAAGTAATTTCTATCTTTTTTTTTTCTTTGGATTTGTTGAAGAAGTGCCCCACTTTGGTCAATAATCCACATCTTTCTTGTAACAGGGGGCCTGGAGTAGTCAATGCAAAGGATTTTAATGTACATTGTGATGTGAGGTGCTATCAGACATACACAAACATCTAAAAGTCAGTTTCATCTTTAAGCTCATCTTGTGGATCATTGACATGAAAAGTAGTGCCATGAAGATTTTTTAAGGGCCCTTATTTCTTTCTACTTATTCCTCATGCCCATCTAAACCATGCAGAGAGAAATGAATTTTCTTTTCCTCTCATATCCTAAATCTTTTGTCTTGTTTATTTATCAGGTGCCTTAACATGTTTAGCACAACGGTCTAGGCACATTAAATCTTTTCATCTGATTATTTAAGCTGGCTTGTGATGCTTCAGTGATCATCCATGAAGACAGGTATCTCCAAACAGATTATCTCTAGTAAGCTCAAACATCTAGTTGAATGAGCTTGGTCTTAGAGAATGTAACTAGACTAGTGTAATACTATGATTTCCAATCTTTCGTATTTACAGGGAGATTCTTGATTTTGAAATTTGAACCTCCACGTAAATAGCCTATGTGCTATCTGCAAATTTGCTGCAAGTACAGATATAGTCAAGTCAAGTAAGATCAAATTGCAGGGAAAACTTAGTCTAGGTTAAGATATTATTGGCCTCTAGTCTTAAAGTTGGTGAAAAGGAAAGGTCAACCACCTCCATTATAACTTCATTTCATATCCTCTTCTTTTTTCTTCTTTGATGTGCATTACATAGAATCAGTCGAATCCTGCCCGAGGCCAAATGATGGTGGATCCACTAAGTTGTTAGAATGATGCCATCATTTGACAATTAGGTTCTTCAGGTCCCACTGGTGCCATACTGTGTCATGCATGTATTATTATCCCTCGTTAGACACAACTCATGAACTATTGAAAGGAAGTTGAGCAGATGGCACAGCTGGCCAAACAGCAACAATTTTCAGGCTAAATGGTTCATGAATTGATGCCAAAATGAATAGAATTTACACCTTGCAAGACAAAAGACTCATTTCATGACCGAATGCGTCTGTTTGATGTTGTATGTCTCTGAAAAAGCATTACATATTGATCTGCATTTGCTTTGACACACTTTGTTCCATATATATCAAACCACTGTCTTCTTAATCTTGTTTCAGTTACAGCAGAGCGACATGTCTATGATTGTTTTGCAGGGCACTTCGATTTGTCTTCTATCATCTGATGTCAGAAAGCTTCCCCCCGAGGTTTCAAACATTCAGTGAACTAATGCTTCACCAAGTAGCCACATCAAGAGGGCAAGAACTCAGGAGAGACACATTAAATTCGCTCTCTGCTGAATCTTATTTCAGTTGGAGCAGAGCAACATGACTGATTGTTTTGCGGGGCACTTCGATCTCGTCTTGGACGACCCAATGCCAGAAAGCTTCCCCCAACTTACCAACACTCAGTGAACTATGCTTCATCAAGTTGCCACATCTTAATTGAACTTTGGGCCAGCGACATATCTTTACTTGAAAGCTGTGTGAAAAGAAGACCAAGATGAAGAAAAGGTGGGAGAATCCTTCAGAAGCTTTTCTAGGGTTCTAGCTTGTGCTGAAACCAGGAGTTTAACGCGGAGAAGTGAGGGTCCTCAGCCACATGAAGTGTGTCAGAGCATGTGAGGCTTTTGGTGTTGAACTCTCTAAAGCAAAGAGAACAAGTGCTCTCAGGACATTCATCAATAACTCTTCTAACCACCACAAAATATTAAACCTGCAGTAGTTTTTAGCTTGTTTCATACAGAGAAGATGAACTTTGACTTTATCATCTTCCAGCCATCTGCCACAAGAAGACATTGGCAAAAGCTCTCAGTCAGCCAATGAATGGCATTGACTTGTAGATTATGGTGCACTACTCGGAGTTTTGAGTCTATAATAATATTATTACTGGGATGCTGATGACAAGATGGTGAAGTGTTACAAGTATACAGCACTGCAGGAAACTATGGATGGAAAATTTTTACCGTCTGCAGAATAAGAACTGGAAGAACTGTTTTCCTTTTATAGTAAGGAAATAATAAAGGGAGAAAGTTTGAAAAAAAATGGGTTCTCTTTTCTCAAAGAGAATCTCATGTATTAAACTGAACTTAATTCATAATAAGAATAAAATATTTTTTTTTCAATAAAAGATAAATGATGAAGATGGGATTTAAGTCTAAAACTTTACGATATACTATCAAGGTGTTTTCTAAATATGTCGTATAAGGTTTTGAATTTTTGGTAAGAAGATCTGGTACATCATCATTAGACCAATATTTAGGGTGTAATTAGATCTTTATTATGAAAAATAAAAATATAATTTATATCGTTATTTTCAGATAATATTTAAGTATATTAATTAAAAATAAAATTAAAAAATTCTGTTAAATTAATGAGAATAAAAGAAATATTGGACGAGTTTATGTAAATAGATATATGAAAAAAGAAACTAATAGTTGTAATATCTGAAAACAAAAAAGAATTGTTAGACTGAGTTGATGCTGGAATTATTTATTAGCTATATACACCAATATAAAATTCAACTTGCAAAACCCTTCTTTTTCTTTTTTTTTTTGGTAGGCTCCAAATAAGCCACAGGCCCATGACTGGCCCACAAAGCCCACCGATAGCACACAACTTCACAAGGATATCATTTATAATATAAACAATTAATAAGTTGATGATTATCTCTATACAGATTAAAAAATAATTTTCTAAAATTAAAAATCAAAAAATTTGGAAAATAAAATATTTCATTTTAAAAAAATATATAAGAACCAAAATACTAAAACTATAATTATAAAAAATAATATATAGTTAATATATAATTAACAATAATCAAATAAAAACTAAAGCTTAAATATATATGTACATATAATATTTTAAAGCAATATTTAGCGTTGGCTTGGAGGGTCGGCCGAGCGAGCCAACCCTATAGATAGTTCCACAAATTATGTCGGCCATATGTCTTGATAGCCATACAGCACCCACCAACACAAGGGGTGGGCGTGGCATACATAGCCAACCGACCCTTTTAATCTTCAACTTAAGCCCCTCCCGTTCCTCGTATAGCCCACCCTCACCAGTCCTGGCTTCCTATCTCCCGATGTGGGACTATCGTCCTCCACCCGCTTCTCTCATCCTCGATCTCGCGAGCTTCCTCGGCCGGGAGCACACCCATGCCCAGCTAATCATCGGCGCGAGCAAGGGTTTCTTTGCGTCAGGGTTCACCTTGTGGGGGAAAAAGATCGCATCTTGCTTGGGAATCGGAGGTAAAGATCGCATCCTGGATTTCTTTTCCGCCGGCCTTCAAAAGAAAAACACAGGTTTAGACTTGATTTAGTGAGGTCCAATCAATATAGTAGACCAGTGCTTTAGACATCAGTGTGACCTGGGAGATTGAAAGCTTCCTCAGCCACGGCAATTGCTGTCATTCAAATCGGATAATAATAATTTATTGCTCCTTCTAATGAGAGAAACAAAATAACACTTTGAAGTTTTAGGCACACTAATATAGAAGATTAGCGCACTGTAAAGTGAAACGAATTCATGTTTTACACACCCAACGAGGCTTCTTCCTTTCCAAACTGCTGCCTGATGCTTGGAAAGACTGAAGTTTACAATGAGCTCTGCAACTGTAGAGTTGCCATATTTATTTCTTTAGAGGAGAAACACTTTTGAAGCAGTATATACAAGTATTTACATCTTTTTGATGGGTCAATTTCTGGCCTCGACACCATCCCATCAATTTCCCAAAGAACTGAGGATGAAGATATGACCCAATCTTTTGTGAAGATTAAGGATATTTGTTTGAGACAATTTGAGTTCTGATAGGGATAAAAAGATGACTTGACGTAATACCTCGGGTTTGACGTAATACACCCCCCCCACGTCGGTCGTCCTGTACGGCGCGCTATCCCAGAAAGAGCATTAACGGCGACGCGACACGCACCCACGCCCACCGTACCCGAGCGACCTCCTCGGCTGACCCATCGCGGCCGGCCGAGGCAAGCGAAGGCACCAGCTGACACCCCCCATACCCTGCCACGGCTCGGCTCTCCACGAAACGCCCACGACGGCGACAGACGCCATCAGAGGTACGGCCCTGCTCTTACAGGATGCCCCATCAGGTAACATCAGACCCCCTTCATAAATACCCCCCGGCTTCCACCGCCAGGGGATTCATTCAACACAATACTCTCCGAACTAACTTGGTCGTCGGAGGGGTCGGGTCGAGCCACCAACCCGACCTGCGTGCAGGTATTCGCCCGCCGTCAAGGCCCCTCGACACAACGGAGTTACCCAGCCAGATCCCCCACATCTGCCACCCAAGGACCTCGCAGGAGGCCGCATCTGATCCCAGCCATTTGGAGCCCTGATCCCGCCGCGTCGACCCCAAGGTCACGGCGAAAAAGTTACTTACCGTAACAAGTTCAATAACTTCTTCTAGTTGTAGTTCATGTCTCTAAATGCTACAAGATCTGTTTAAGTGACCCAAATAATCAAAAATTATCTAAATTTTGTTTTATCGGATTATTCTCCAACTCAAACATTTGATAATACATAAGAGAGACATTCATAAGAAGATTTGGTAGAGTCTACTCACACAAAAGCATCATCATTAGAAGACCAGTTTCAACAGCTTAATCACCCACTGGCATAAGTATTGAAACTGATTTTTTTTAATTTTAATAATTTTAAAACTGAATATATAAAATATAATTTTAATAATTTTAAAAAAAATATATGAATATAATTAAATTAGATGGATAAAAAATCTCTTTAAATAAAAACTTTAGATATCTTAAATTAATTATTTAATTATATAAAAATTTTGATGAAGAACGAGAGAAGTTTGATGTGATCATTGGATATCTTTGATACGAAAGAAAATTATAAATCAGTTTTACATTTTATATCCATACTCAACAAAACCTTGAAAAACTTAAAAACAAAAAAATATGAAATACTCGTACTCGAAATCCATCCACTCAAATCAAGATTTAACTCTAACATTTCTCTCACATAAAAATCTTTTTTTTAGAAAGAAAATTGTATAATCAAATCGAGACTATAGGAGCCTTCAAAGATACACAATTTTCCTTATCTTATTGGGGATTACAAGAGTTTTTTGCTGCATTGGTAAGAGAATGTGCAACATTATTTCAATCTCTATTGATGTGTAAACTTACCAAACACATTAATTTTCTTGGCTAGCAGTGATACATCTTTACAAAGACTTATTAAAAGTCAAGAAGTCAGAGTGAGTATGATAAAAAATAAGTATCAGTTTAAGTGAATCACTCTTTGACGAAGAAATTTTGAAGTTCCTTATGTTTGACTTTCTTTAGTCCATCCCAAATCGGTCAGCATTCAGTCTCTTGGGGATTGGTGCCAAGATATCTTTTGCACCTTGAAATAGAAATAGAAACTCATATAGAAATATGACTGTCTTTACAGTCCTTACTAGCAGAATTGGCTTCAGTTTGCAACAGTAATCGGCGGATGACATCCTTCAGAAATAAGATTACAGAACAGCACATTAAGGCTGTCATCGTCAACAACGAGTGTAGAAAACAAAGAAAAATACTCACATACACAAAAAGCATTTGCGAGTGCAGTCTTGTCATCCTTTACGAGGCTACCGCCGGCGTAGAAGCCGAGTTGCTTATGCACAGAACAACAAGATGTTGGAGAAGCCAAAACGCCCTCCGCCTACCGATCCTTTGCCTTGTGGATAGAATTCATAGCAGAAGGTGCCGATAAAATCGATGATTGCCAGTATAAATTATTTGTTTGCGTGAGGCATTCTTCCCGTATTAATTCGTAGATGTGGCTGAGTTGATACAATTCGAAACCTGCCTGTGTCTTCAAGCTTCTTTGCTAACTTCTCTTTGAGTTGGTCTACGAGGCTGACAAATGCACAGCGAAATAATGCAGGAAAAATAAGATATTTTACGAGAATATTTTAGTTTCCACTGAGACTAAGATATTCTTAAACGTTTAATTGTTTCAAAAACTTTATACCTGAAGCTTTATATTTAATGATGACTAATGTTGAAATCGACAGAATCGGCAGAAATAACTATTTCAATTTAGAATGGCAAATATGCTGTTTTTAAGGGAAATTTTGACAATAAGCTCATCGGCTATGTTTTATTTGCTTGGCTGCTGCCACCTCCGACAACTCCATGTAAGAGCTCCCGCCCACCTCCACCGCCGCCGCAGCCCTCCTCGCCAGCTCCCGCGCCTTCTCCCTCCGCGCCCTCCCCGCCTCGCCTACCGACTCGGCCACGACGCGCGCCAGCTCGTCTGGGTCCGGCACCGCGTCGCCGCCCTTGCATGCTTTCACCCCCGTCCCGACCTCCTCCTCCAGCAGCCTGGCGTTCGAGAACTGGTCCGCCCCCATCGGCCACGTCAGCAACGCCACCCCCGCAGCCACCGCCTCCAGCACCGAGTTCCACCCGCAGTGGGTCACGAATGATCCCACCGCCGGGTGGTTCAGTATCGCCACCTGCGGCGCCCACCCCTGGATCACTAGCCCCCGCCCCGCCACCCGTTCCTCGAACCCCTCCGGCAGCGGCACCACGCCCCTGGTCGCCCACACGAACCGCGCGCCGCTTTGCTCCAGCCCCGCCGCGAGCGCCACCGCCTGTGCGGGCGACAGCACTGCGAGGCTTCCGAAGGCCACGTACACCACCGAACCCTCCGCGCAGTTGCCAAGCCAAGCGGCCACCTCCTCGGCACCGACCAAGCTCGGCCCGCCACGCTCACCGCCGCCCCCGGGAGGCGCCAGGGGCCCCACGCCCCAGACGCGCGCGTGGCCGAGGTCGTCCCGCAGGTGTTCCAGATATGGCTTCTCGATCTCGGCGAAGGTGTTGAATACGAAACCCCAGCTGCCGATGTTGGCCAGAAATGACGCCTTTATGAACTCCGACAAGGGGTCGCCCTCCTCGTACCTCCGGTAGATGGCCGAGAGGTGGCGCCAGGGGTAAAGGGGGGGATCTTGGGAGGGAGGGGAAGGGGACGAGCTCGTCGGGGTCGTCAGGATCCGATATGTTTGGCATCCGGCGCCACAGCGAGTGGCCAAGGGCGAGGCAGAGCGCGCCGGAGGGGCTGAAGACGAGGCGGGGGATTCCCAGCTCGGTCGCGAGGCCGTTCGTCCAGCCGCAGAAGAAGTCAGCGAGGACCGCGGTGGGGGGATCAGTCCAGGAGCGGGCCCAGCGGAGGAGCGGGTCGTGGAGGCCGCTCAGCTCGCGCATCAGGAGGCGGACGTCGTAAAGCGGCCCAGCGTTCTCCACCCCGGGGGGAAGGTTGGTGTTGTCGGGGAAGGGGAGAACGAGGGGGGCGACGGTGGGGCAGCGAGCGAGGAGCGGGGAGAGGTGGGGAAGGTTCTTTGGGGTGACGACGATGGTGACGGCGAAGCCGTAGCGAGCGGAAAGGAGGTGGGCGAGGTCGAGGAGGGGCAGCATGTGTCCCGACGCCGGGAACGGGACAGCCAGGGCGTGGACCCGCCGCTGCAGGTTCGCCATGAGCCGGCGCTCTCCGCACTCCTTTTCCGTCTTATCTCTTACGAGGACTGCCGTCAAAATGCGCGCGATGTCAGCGCTGACGCACACACGAACGACAGTAGCGTGGAACCACTCGGTTTACAACTCGATGATCGGCGTCATTGACCTAAGCCGGAGGCATCGCAACCGTTTAGCTTCACGCCGAACGGCTGACGAATTAAAGACGGAAAATGCGACGCAACGAGGGTGGCGTAGTTGCGAAGATTGTGGCCCACCGAGCACGTGTCTCGGAGCATCGATTTTGTGACACGTCGATGGTGCGTATGTCAACCGTGTGGTACATCACGATCGGGCCACATACATATTCATGAAATGCAAAAGACAAAAAGACCAAATACAAAGGCCGAAGGAATGCGTCGACGGTGTCGATATATCCTATATATTCACGAAATAAATAATTGATGTGGTTTGAGCCGGTGTCGATATATCCTGACCATATAAAGAAAGACGGGTTCCCAAGACGCCTATTTTTGGGAACGTCAGTGATGGCCTGTTTCGGTATGAAAAACTTTGGGAGTCCCACGTTATCTTACTCTTCCGACATGCAGTATTAGTAGTGGATCTTAAGATATTTTTTTAATTATTATTAAAAAAATATTTATTTTAATGAAGATTCAACATGTGGTAGCTGACTTGAGGATCAAAAGAATCACATCAAAAACTTCACCCGATGTTAATTTTTATTTCAATTAATTGAGATGCATACATGTGGTAACAGACTTCTCGTGTAAGTGGCTTAGAATCGAATTGTACTAATTCAAACATTACCAATATTTTTTTCCGATGAATTATGATTATATTTTTTATTTAAAATAATTTTATGATGATTGATCAACCAAATTCACCGTTCATATCAAATATCATATTCTTTTATTCTACATATTATAATCCAAAATTACTATAATACTTTACCGGGGATCTCTTATTGATTGAAGCGTTTCCCTTGCACTGCACTTCTGAGGTAGAAATCCAACAGCTCCATCTGAAATCCAACAGCTCCATCTCGGTCGGATGAAACCTGAAACCTGGTAGATCAAGCTCCGATCCTTTTTTATCCATTGACAAAAATCCTTTATTCTATTGAGGGAAATCATTTCTCCTAATTTGTATAAATAGGAGAGGGAACATGTTAATGTATTGAAACATTTTCATTTTTTCAATAAAACTTCTTTACTTCTTCAATAAAACTTATTCAATAATTATTCTTATCTTCTTTTCTTTTCTTTAGGAAAGACATCAATTCCGATTGAGAACCCCCACACTCAAATACAAATGCGAAGCCAGTCAAAAAGAGCAGTCATTGTTCATTTATCGCTTTATGGACTTAACTCGTTCTAACTCAAAGTGAAAGGGATGAAGGTCCATAAAGCAGTTCCAGCGTTTAAACCCAGGCGGTGGTCAAGTACGGATGTGTCGTACTATAGATTGTTCCTCCATTAATGACAAGGGTGTGTTGTTTCCCAAACAGCATCGATGAGTTTTGTTAATCGAAGAAAACTACGTTTTGGCTGTTATAATGCATGGATTGGCGACGTTCGTCAATCTATCATGATTATTTCTTGTTTTTTTATGGAAAGGAAGAAATAATTCGACAATCTTTCTTCTTATAAATCAATCAATAAAAAAAATCACCACTAAGCTATTTAATAAAACCAATTTTAAGAAGTAATTCAAAGCATCACTGAAACTTTATGGTGGCATTGCTTTCCTTACATTTTTGCCTTTAGACTTGCTCATTACAAGGGAGTGTTTTCTAGAGGAAATGCACAGGTTCCTCCGAGAAGAAGAAGAGGAAGAAAAATGAAGTGCGTCAAGAATTCTCGACCACTGGAGAGGAACCAGGAAACATCCCTTCCATCACTTTTACTGGGTCCAAGTCCAGCACTTGGAATGCAACAGGTCAAGACGTCCAATCTGCCATAAAACTTTGACCCCACTGCTTGACCTTAAACAACCACCATTGCCTCCTTCCTAAGTTCCAAACCACAATCCACCCAACACTCCCTTCGGATTCCTCCAACACTAGGGATATTTTCTTCACCAGGCGGAAGTGGGAGGAACATCTAATCCTCTAGAAGCGGCGCACTGGTTGTGGACTAAAAGTTGAACTCCTTTCAACTTTCCAATCCATCTTGGATATATATATATATATATCGTCTCATGATGGCAGTTGGCCATCACCATCTATCAACTAGCACGAGCCATGACTTCCGAGTCTTCCAAACCTCAGTGCTCCTCGTCATCGTCGTCCATGGAGGAAGAACAGATGGTAGCACTGAAAGAAAATTATGATCGCCTTCTGCGCTACTAGGCAGGTCAAATGGTCTACGGTCTTCTTGGCCTTAGATCATTGTTTCTAGTCTTAGAGGTTACTAATCCACTTAAATGTCAATAATTCATCATAGGTTTTACCAATCATTTGATAAGACTAATTTAAATAATTAAAATTAGATAAAATAAAAGATGAGAATTTAGATTAAGATAAATAGATAACAGTGATGAGATTTGTTGGATTACGGTATATTGTTTATTATTTTAAAAAAATTATATTTTATTTTTTTGACTAATATAAATACTTATTTTGGGATGAATCCAAAACATTGAAAATACTAATCATTTTTTTATTATTATTTTTTTTCCTGAAGTTTTTTATAAAATCAATAAGTGTGATATGATTTGAAGAAGACAAATAAAAGTAAGTCGGTTAAAAAACTCAATAAATTAATTTAAAAAAATAGTTGTCATTAGAGTAAATATCTCTTACCAGCTTCTTTCTATATTCAAAAGTGAAAATTATCAAATTTGATAGAAAATGATTTTGTTAAGTATGATATGTAGGATTCTAATATTACTAAAGATTAAAAAAAAAGATGAATAAAAATATACTAAAAAATATAAGAGCTCTACAATTAGAAATAGATAAGTCCATATTTTCTCCAATCATGTTAGCATCAATATCAATAAAAATCTTAAAAATATTAAAAAGTGTGTTTGGAGACACAAGGTAAAGACTCTAAAGCTTCAAATTCTTCAACTTGAATTTAAAACTCTGATGATTGAAAGATTCTAAATTCATCACTTATTTTTTCTTAAAAGTTTTTTCTATTGTGAACTAAATAAGATCTTATGGTAAAAACCTAAAAGATCAAATAATAGTAAAAAAAGGGTTTATTAAGTTTATCTCTAATATTTGATATAATTTTTATTATTATAGAAGAAGCTAAAGATATAAGTATATTATTTGTTGATGAATTAATGAGCTCGTTTTTAGTTCATGAATAAAAAAATAAATAGATCTCCAAATAAAATTTTAAAATATACTTTTCAAATGAAGATAGATCAAAAAGACTAAAAGAAAATTCATAAACTAAATCTCAAGGAAGATATCAAAATGGTATGATCTAACGCACGAGGTAGTGGACAAGGCCAATCATATGAGGATAACAGGAACTCTGATAAATGTAACAAAGATCCTATCAATATTTTTATTATAAAAAATTAGACATACTAAAAAAAGATTATTGATATAAAAATAAAAATCTAAATATTTCTATTTGCTTTTAGAGTAAAAAATATGATTATCTTGAAAAAAATATTAAAATAAAAATTAAGTAAATTATCATGAAGGAAATAATAGTAAAAAAAAGGATGAAGAAAATATTTTTCGATATCTGATGAAGAATACTATAGATTTGCTTGGTTTTTCAATAGTGAATATAGTAATCATATGATAACGGATAAAAGCTTGTTTCAAAAACTTGATAATTCAATTAGATCTTCAAGAAATGAAGCTAATGTTTAGGTGGAAGAAATGGAATATTTTTTGTGAACGCTAAATTTGATAAAAAAATTATTTATGATGTGATATTTATTCTTGATTTAAAATAAAATCTCATTAATATAGGGTAATCGATAGGAAAAGGATATTATGCTATTTTTATGATAAAAATATTTAATTTATAATAAAAAAAAATTAAAAACTAATAGCAATTATGAGGATTATAAAAAATAAAATATTTTCCTTATTATTTTCAGATTTCTAGTTGCATGCACTCACTGCTACTACTATTGATAAATTGATATTATAGAATAAAAGATATGGTCATTTGAATTATGATGGACTAGAATTATTAAATTAGAAGAATATGATAATTGATTAAATATTTTTATTATTTATAGATGATTGCACAAGGATGATGTAGGTATATTTTCTAAAAGAAAAAATTGAAGTCTTTTTTGTTTTAAAAAATGTAAAACATATATAAAAAATAAAGTGGTTATTTTATTAAAACTCTACATACCAATAGAGGTGTTGAATTTATTTCTAAAGATTTTTTATTTTTTATAGGAATGCAAGTATTCATTGGGAACTACTACAGTAACATCCCAACGAAATAAAATTGCAGAGCAAAAGAATCGAGAAGTGGTCAAAACTGTCATATATTTTCTTAAAGAAAAAGCAATACTAAAGTAGTTTTGGATAGAGATTATGAGTACAGTTGTATATTTATTAAATCATTTTTCTACTATAAGGAAAAATATCTTATGGAACATGGTTGAATAGAAAACAACATATAATTCATTTAAAGGTATTTAGTTGTATTGCTTATTTTTATATTCCTATGGAAAAAAGAAGTAAACTTGATGATAAAAATATTAAATACATATTTTTGGGGTATAGTAATAAGATAAAAAAAATAGATTTTATAGAATAAGAAATCAATTACGCACATGATACATTGATTATTGTTAATATTTCACTATAAATTTTTCATATTTTGAATGATTAACTTTTCGTTTCTCCTACTATGTTATTCTCATTCTCCCTGAAGTTGTACATAAAGCCAAGATTGTCCACATTGCTTCTGTATTATTCTATGTTTGGGGATGCTTTTCTAGGTTGAGAATTAATTATATGGTGTTACCCCTCATATTTCTACCCAATTATATAGTTCTAACTGTTTATTCTCTCATTCGCTAATTTAAGTATTGGAGGGACAATGCTGGGCAACCTCGGCACTAGCCTCACATTCAAGTTTATCGGTGAACAAGAGGTGACCCCACTGTCAAGATGCAGTCACGCAACTATGAGACAAATCATCTCTAAAGGACACTCGGACAATCTAGCCTAAAGAGAAAACCTTACTACTAGGAAGATCTCATACTACCTACCTCGTTATCTTGAACTGGGTCCCCATCGACAAGATCGCTTTCGACCGTATCACATATGCAGTCTCACCTCATCAAGTCTCCCACGTCAACTAAAAAGAGATTGGGACGATCTCACCTCATTAAGTCTCCCACGTTAGTCAGAAAAAAATATCCGAATGAGTTTGCACCTTCGATAGTAAACCAATCATGCCAACTCATCGGTCGATGATACTCATGACATCATCAAATGAAAA